GCTCCTACGTCGCTCGTGAATCAACATTTTCCACTCACAGGTAAAGCATCTTTTTACCGTCTTGTTTAATAAATAACTATTAATATTGATCAATATAATAGGCAAAGAGGAAGATGAAAACGAGATCTAAATAAAGGGTTGTTTTAGAATGTTAATTATTAATGTAATGTAGTAAAACCGTGAATAAAACCAAGTATGCATATGAAGCCAAAGCCCGCGGAATCATAACCTGTAGTGCAAAAGGCCTACGTCCATCCGAGAAAGGACATGCCTACGTCACAACTGGTGATTTGGTGTATCATCCTTGCTATGAACCGATGTTGGCTTCAGTGGCGTTCCTGTGTTTTTTGTACATTTCGAATAAGTTTGGGTGCTAATTTTGAAATAAAAAATACTAAATAATCAGAATACGGAAAGAGCATTAAGAAAGCTATATAAAGCACTAAAAAGAACTAACGATGCGCAAAAAAACGATTCTAGATTTAACTCAATCCCATATAATTTGAGGGCTGACCTTGAAAATTTAAAGTTAAATATCTCAAAAAGTAAATATTCTCGAATGCAACTGTTTGAAGCACTGAGAAGCACTAACGAAGCACTAAAATCTGACAGCAAAATTGGGTAATTCGGAAAATTTTTGGGGGCTGACCTAGAAGTGAAAATCTAAAATAGGTATCTGAAATAAAAAAAGCACTTTCGAAACTATTTGAAGCACCAAGAAGCACTAACGAAGTACTAAAACATAGTAACAAGTTTCGTTCATTTTGATAGATTGTCAGGGCTGACCTTGAAACTACAAAAAAATCGATACACAGAAAACGAAAAAAGCACTAACGAAAACAATTGAAGCACTAACGAAGCACTAACAAACAGCATATTTTTCCAAATAAAATTTAACACTTTAGGGGCCAACTTCACGGACCTATAATTTACCTGTAAAGGTGAAGGCTGCAAGTGGGGTACAAAAATATAGGGGAAAACCCTGCAGTCAGCTAAAAAATCGGCCCGATCACGCGCTTCTTTAGCTAACGGTGCCAGGGATTTCCGGGTAACAGACATCCGGCACCCTGCACCCTTGGTTTTTCTCATTCCTTAGGTCCTTATTTACAATTTTTGTTAAGAGTGTTTTTGTCGGTGACGAAAAAGGTAGTAAATTGCGTTAAACCACCCCATTTATCGCCACGGTGCCAGGGCTTGCGGCAGAGTAGGTCGTGGCACCGTAGGTTTTTTTAAGCATAGGCATTAAAAGGAATTTTCTCGGCGTTGATTTCGTGCCTCGGTGATGAAAAAGGTATATGTTATAAAAAAACGGTCCATTTTTTAATTTAAAAAACATGCTTTCGGCAGAATCTCAACAGGCACCGTTATCATTTCGGGTAAAAAAATTCGTCTTTTCACCACGAATCGTTTACGTGACATTCGAAATGTGGCTCGCTTCTAGGTCGAAAAAATGAGCGGGCTCTTAGACTAGATTGGGGATCCCACTTGCAGAGGTAAAAACTCTACCCTCTGTACCCAAGGATAGTCTGTACCTACCTTTTACAATGAGTAATAAATTTATTATTGTAGAGGGTGTTCCCGAATTTATTGATACCCCACCTCTAAAAGCTATCAAATTTTGCATTACTTCGGGCTTGAGTACAACAAACACTTTTCGAAAGGAATTAAGCGCGTAACGATCTGGTGACCCGCGGAGCTGTTCCAGAGCTCCTCATAGATGTGAAAGGAATATAAAACCATATAAGTAAAAAATTATATAACGCGTGTTCTTGCTGTACCCTGATACAAAAATGTGTGAGACAGATATATCAACTTCGCATAAGTCTATCGCTCAGCCTGGTTTGGTCTAGTTCGCATGCGTAGAATGTCGTTGAGGTGATTGGTGGGTTGTAAGCATGGTTTTCAGACGATCGATAATCTCGTTTTCGTAGTGGACGGACGATGCTCGACGACCAATGTGTAATTATAGGCATGCGTTGATTTGACGAACCGAACTACAAGATAGACTTATGCAGAAAAAATTTCCATCTCACTCATTTTTGCATCACACGCTTCTCATTGCGTAAATGGAGTACATGCGTTATATAATTTTTTACTTATATGAATAAAACTAATGGGGGCAACCCGTCTAAAATATTTTCAATTTCACTTCCAGTTTTAAAGTGCGACAACTGAGTGAACCTTGGTAACGTATGAAGTAGCAGAGGGGAAGACGAAAACCTATACTATATGACGCGACGGGTCCCCGACGTGGTGCATTGCGAAAATTGCGATTACCCTGACGCGACGACCTGCGTATATGTATATTTAATCTCGCGCCAATCAGGAGCGTTTTGCCCGCATCCCTTCCACACAGCTTCACTCACTTGTCGCACTTTACTTGAAGTAGACGTCAACTTGCTTATTTTAAATGAGACACCCTGTATATGATTGCATATTTGGATTTTACGTAAAATTCTGAGCAGATTTCATGTGATATACTCTATACCCAATAAGAATCGCTCTATACCTATCTTCAACTATTTTAGAAATATTGATTTTAAAATTGATAAAGTATTGGGTTCACCGCACTACATTAAAAAATAAATAAAATACATAATATAGGATTGGAACTAGCCTCAAATTGAAGGATTGTTCTCCAGTATTCGCCGTTTTGCGTGCTTGTTCACAAGATAAACTAGAAACTAATCGCCAAATGACGCTGCATGTCAGATTGCTTTGCGCTTAAGTACTTCCTAACTGATTCTGCTCCGCCATCATAAAGATTAAAAAGCGCTGCACATCACCTTGATAGAGGATGCTGAATGCTGATTCTTGCATTCTTTTTTCATTAATGTAGGTATCCTTAATTATAAGACAGCCATTTCGATTTTCTATGATCTAGACAAAGATAGACTATTCATCGATGGATCCAGCGATGAAAAAAATAATGCGCCCTAAGTACTAACATGCTATGGACACGCAAACAATCGCGTTTCACGTTTAATTGTCGCAAAACTGGTGGGGGAAAAATCAAAGATGAAAATATTTTTTGTTAGTTCGTTATAGCCGATAACATTATCAAAATTTGATGGAGAAAATAGGTCGCTACATCCAAGCGCTCGTTATAAACGAGTTCGCTATAGCCAGGCAGAAATATGTGTAATAATGTTGAATTTTTTTCGGGATTTAATTTTTGTTCGTTATATGCCGTGTAACGAGTCTGACTGTATATCTTTTTGGAATTTCTTTCTATCTTTGGAGGTAAAAGCTGCAGGTGGGCTAGGGTGTCAATATATGGAGAAACGCCCTATAAACTGGCTAATGTAAAATACTACCTATAAAGGGTGAGTTACTAAGCGCGCGGTGGTCCATATCTCCTATACTAACGGAGATCGAAAAATATATATATACAGGGTGTCCCACGAGGTTCCTCCCAAATGATCATTTCGGAACGCATATTTCATGTACAATGTCATATACCTATCTTCAACTGTTTCGGAAATATTGACAGTTGAAAACTGACTTTTTTGCATCTTTGACAGACTGTAAAATCTGAACGGTTAATTTACAAGAAAACGGATTTTACATTCCTGTCTTAGTTTTTCATAAACTATCAATCTTGAATTTAATCCATGAATAAAAATTCCGCCTAAATTATTAATCTTCGGTTAAATTCAAAGTTGGTGTCAAGTGATAGCTTATGAAAATCTAAGATAGGAATGTAAAATCCGTTTCCCTCTAAAATTAAACGTTTAGGTTTCAAAGTCTGTTAAAGATACAAAAAAGTCAATTTTCAACTGTCAATATTTCCGAAACAGTTGAAGATAGGAATATGACATTCAGGGGCGGCTTCTCAATAAGTGCGCTCGTGCGCGCGCACTGCCTCCAAAAACCAAGCAAGAAAATAAAATTAAAATTTTGGAAAGAAAAGAAACTTCAATTAAAAAATACCTACCCAATTTTCTAAATTAGGATAAATATCTACTCATTTTTCTATTTTTAAATTCGCACGAACGGAACGAAAGCGCGCCCTGCGCCTGTCTTGTATATTTTTTTCTCCCGCTTGGTTGTGCTGGTGGTCCGGGTGGTCGGTGTGGAATCGTTCGGCGCTCTGGGTAAATGTGTTTTCTCGCTGTGCGATTGATCGGGAATATACGGTAAGTCGCCCGATGAAAGGGATGCGCCGTGCGCTATTTGAATACACACTTCCAATGTTGTTTCCACTCAATCGAGAATATTTCGATGTTTTTTCACCATTTTGGCAGTTTGACAACTCTGTTGTTCGCGGTTTTTTTTTAATTATAAATTTCAATATCAATTATGTATTATGGCTAGAATACAAACATTCAAGCCTCATTTAAATACATACATTTTTGTTTTCGATAATTTTTCCTAAAGTAAAAAGAAAAAAAATCAACATATAAAATAAATGTAAAACAGGACGTGGCACCTCCAAAAAAATTTTCAAGAGCGCACATCCACACTAGGTTGCCACTGGCCGCCACTGATGACATTGTACATGAAATATGTCTAAAATGTGTTTTTTTTTTTAAGATAAAAGTCAAAATGACATTATGTTGGCAATACAATGTAAAGTTGTCAATGCTTCCAAATTTTTTATGTAGAAAAGGCTTGTGTTGCCAACATAGTTACTAAATTTTTGACTTGGGGAATTATCTTTAAAAAAAAAACAGACTTTAGAATTTTCCGCAGAATCCATAAAATTTATAATATACAGGGGGAGTCATTTAAAAAAACATAACTTTGTGTCACTACTAGTTATTGGGCCAACCTGTATACTGGAAAATAATTAGGGAATGTAATACTCATGTTTATCTACAAGTTTCGTATTTAGGTTTTTCTTCGATCTCCGTTAGTATGGAAGATATGGACGACCGCGCGCTTAGTAAGTCACCTTGTATAAACATAAAATGCAACCTCTTTCCGCGTGATACTTTCAAAAATAAATTAGCAGCTTAATTATCAGGTGGTCAGAAGATGGAACGTAAAACCAAAGATTAATGAACGGTAGAACTTTATTGAAGATTTTTTAAACTAAAAAACGCAATTTTTTGATACATTTGAATAAATAAATATTTATCATCAATGAAAAACATAAATGTTTCTTATAAATAAAAAAAAAACCTAAGTGTACCTTTACATCACAAAATAAAAAACTTAAAAAATTGGTTAACTTAAAAGCCTAATAGGTTCCAAGGTTCTTCAAGTAGCACATTTTGGTCAGTTAAGAGGTATGAACCAGTTTTTCCTGAAAAATAATGTAGTTAGGTTTTTCCAAATGAAAAGTAACTCAAGTTTTGAAAACACGTTCAACCTGTATGGGTGGTCCAATCTGAAGAAAACGTATAATCGGAAGAGCCAATTTCTCAGCGAGGAAAAAAACGAACCCTCTATTTTGAGACCTAAATTCTATGTTGCAAACCGTATTTTGATATCTTCAAGCTTTGGGCGTTTCTCGATTTTGAGCAATACTGTAAAAGCTTCGTGACTTTTTTTATTTATGAAAATAATTGATTTCTGTGTAAACTTTCTAAGGGCACTTGAGCATAATGACGTACAGAAACTCAGTTTTTTTTCCCAATTTTGAGATATTGACCATAGTCCGATTTTTTTTAATAGGACACCCTATATATTAGTGAATCATTTGATAGCTCTTACCGATTTCAATGATTTCAGGTTTGAGAGATTTATCCTTAACAGCTTTCGAAAATAAAATTGAAATAATTTTTGGCATAACAACACATGCGTTAAAAAGGTCTTTCTGGACACACTAATAAATAAAATAAAATCTCACACTTGAAACTTACTATTGCTATCCTCTGATTCAAGAGGCTGTGTCTTTTCATTTAGAGATTCCAACTTTTCACGTTCTTCTCTAAGCTTATGATTCTGTTGTCTCAAAAATTCTATCTCGTCTTTAACCAACGCTCCTTCATCTGATGCCAATAAAATCTCGCTAGTTAATTCTTGCACGCTTTTCTTGTACTTTTCCAGCTCACTTGACAATAAGGCAAAGTCCTTTTTGGAATCAAATAAAGTGTGTTTAAGATCTTCAATTTCTTCACTAAAAATATATGATAATTGGTTGATGCAAATAATAAACCTAATAACTACCTTTGTTCCCTGTTGATTTTGTGTAGTTCTTGATATTTTTCATCAAGTTGCTTGATTTCTTCTTTTAGTTTTTTGTTTTGAACCTTAAGCTCTTCTAGTTCCTGTTGATAATCAGCTATTTTCCACTCCAAATTTTTATTTTTATCCTCTCCTTCTTCATCAGCAGACTCTTCACTACTTGATAACACAATTACTTCATCTTCATCTTTTTCAATTAATTCTCTTTTTAACTGTCTAATTTGTTGTTCTAATACAGCTTTAGATTTTTCCAATTCTTTATTTTTTTGTTTTAGGTTTTTCACCTGCTCTGAGATGAGATTAATAACTTTTTCATGATTCTAAAACAATGGTCAATTCCAAGAAGTTTGTTCACTTGATGAAAACAGATTTACTTACCTCGATTAAATAATTTCTTTCTTCTTCAATCTCCTTGTTAAAACGTTCTTTTTGTTGGGAAATTTCCAAAACCAAATCAGCCCTTTCATACCTCAATCTTCTTATTTCTTCATCTCTAAATTAAAAATGTATTAATCATAAATTAAAATTATTACAACCAATCAACTACTGCACTCACTGCTCGTCATATTGTTCTTCTTCTTTTACATATTTGGATATATTTGAATTGTATGCCGAATATCTGCTGCGTTTTAAAAATTGTGGTTCCAATTTGGTTGTAATTTCTTGAGCTATTGCAGAGAACGTCAGAACGTGTTGAGTATCATCATACATCTCAGGAGAAGGATTGATATTAACCTATATGAGATTATTATAATTAGACAATTATTAGCAAATAAAATAAAAATAGAAACTTACAATCATTGATATGTTTTCTTTGCCTTGCAAGGCTTTTTGGAATAGTATTGTTAATTTAGAATCCCTAAAGGGGGCAGCTGAAACGTTCCTTGCTTTTTGCTGCATATCTCTAATGCTGGATATACATCTAGAAATATTATAAATTCAAATAATTTTATAAATATTTACAGGCGTATTGAACATCTTTTGGAATCATTTTTAAATAAAATCGTTTTTCAAAGCGCTTTTAAAGTTAGAGGAAGATACTGAATAAGGGTGCGTGCACAACGGAGCTGTGATAAATACTTATAGCCTGGATGATAGATGGAAGCTATCGTCGATGCTTAGAATTATATTGTCAAGCCAAAAAATATCACCCTTTAAAACATTATTATTTCAATACGAAATAACCAAAGTTCATTGACAGGTAATGTTCCAATTTCGTTGGGCAATACGGATGTTATATCAAATAAAGCAAACGCATCAGGATGTTAGCAAGAAGCTTAGAGCCAACGACCTAGGTTTTAGGTCAATGATTTTTGCTGACATTTCTGAAACGATTTGGATCGATAAGGCGTCATTTCGAGTTAGTTGTAAATCTAAATTCGGGCGCTTAAGTTGTGCTACGGACTACAGAAAGATGGGTCTCCGGTAAGCATTTATTTATTCCGTACATGTATATGGCACCTAGCACAATCCCATTGGTCAGATTTGAAATTTAAACCAATCAAACTTCGAGTGCCATACACGCGTACGGAATATAAATTAGTGCCATATGCACTTACGGAATGTCATACAGATCGTTTCGTCAGGGTTCATACTTTTGATATCGAGCAAGTCATATTTTGAAAAGGGTTGTCGTAGATTTATCCATATGACACATTCAATTTTTTTTGACAAATTAAAGTGAATGACTTCTGGTTTAAGAACCGACGAACGTTTTTGACGTCATTGATTTGTTTCTGTCAATTTTTATTTGTTAAAAAAGGAAGGCAAAAAGTATGAACCCTCGTGAAACAAAGTTTAGGTACCTAGTTATTACAGCAGAAAATTTTGTTAAGCTGAAAACGACTTAAGCATGAATTATTCTTCAAACTATATCTATTTTAAACTGCAGTAGATACTGTATCTCAAATAAAGTGCTAGTATGGAGTATTTATTTTCCAATTTTTTTACGGAATTTCGAATGTAATAATAATTAGGTAGATATTATTAACACATTACAAACATGCGGTGTGTAGTGACGCGGAAATAAACCATCAAGAAAATAATTAAAGATTCTGATTATTCTAAACAACTAAAGACCTAGGATCCAACTACCGAAAATTAATCACGAATAACAAGGACTTACCAAACAACCATCCCAGGAGAGATCATCACTTAAACAGCACAACCAGAAATTTCAATAAAATTTATCTGAACATCGATATCCAGAAATTATTGAAAGCCGATACCCTATATTGACTAATACATTGGAAAGTGAATAAAGCAAAAGTTTTTGGAACTTTTTTTTAAGTGATTTCAACAATTCAATGAAGTTTCATTAACCACGTTTTTTGATATTTTTATGAAGTACTAGCTGACCCGGCGAACTTCGTTCCTGTGTGTTGTGTTAACGTATCTAAAGTGCGTTTTTTTAAAAGATAAAAGTCAAAATGACATTATGTTGGCAATACAATTTAAAATTGTCAATGCTTTCAAAATTTTTATGTAGAAAAGGCTTGTGTTGCCAACATAGTTACTAAATTTTTGAATTGGGGAATTATCTTTTAAAAAAAAAAACAGATTTTATTAACTGAATTAAATTCAGTTTTTTTCGATCGTGAATTTGGCTTTGGTTGAAGAAAATTAATTTTTACTCTCTGGATCAGAAGTCACCTAAAATTAAAATTTTACATCATCCCTTTTTAGGCATCTTGTGGGCATTATTCTTATAAAGTCTACCACCAAATAAATAAACTCAGGCACAAGAATGTTCAAAAAATGTAAAGAAAACAAAAAAAATCTCCAGCGCAGCCCTGTTTCATTTTATCTGCACTGCAATACTCCATCTGTTCTACTGTATCTGCACTATTCTATCTGATCTACTCTTTCTGCACCACTTTATCTGATCGGAATAGTGGAATAGTTCTGTTTGGAATAGCTCCAGTTCCTTAGTAGTATTCTGTTCTACTGTATCTGCAATGAAATTACCGCACAACGGCGAGCTTCGTTCTAGGTACCTATCATATATGGCGCCGTATACAAAATGGTTGTGGCGGACTCATAACCTGGCTCTGCCACTCGACACCAGCCGGACGGAGCACTCCGAACAGTCGCCACGGAACACGGCTGTCAAGGGATGCCTAAGAGGAGAAACGGAACTTAGCCACAGAACGTCAATGGTCAAGCGTCAAGAAATCACAGGGAGACCAGTTCGCGCTCTTTCGGAATGAACGAACCAACAACAAAATAAAATACACAATTAAAACATTGTCATTCTATTTATTTTTGGACATTTTTACTGTGAAGAACAATTAAAAATAAAGTGCTTTCTTCAAATTTTTTTTGTGCAAAGTGTGTGACAATAAAATCCACATGGTTTGCAATGAAAATGTGACGGTAAACTTGGTATCGGTTATAAGAGATGGCGCCGTATGCGGGCTTAGTGAGCTTTTTTCATAAATAAGTAAAATAGATATTTTTTTTTTGTTTTTTTTTTGGATTTTTTCGATTTATTATCGTAGGATGGACAAAGACAAATCCAATAAAGCAAAAATCATAAAAATCAGTCCAACCGCTCTCGAGTTATAAGTGCTCAACACCAACACAACTGTGTTTTATATATATAGATTACTCACATATAGTACACAAAAAAAAAATCATCTCAATTGGATAAATATTGAAAAAGTTATGCGGCTTTGAATATTAAAACATTATGCCTCAGAAATTCATCGCTGAGAGATGCTATGACGTCATCTCTCGAGTCAAGACGGGCTAAAGGCCGTCACACGACCAACGTAAGAGATGCAGTGACGTCATCGTGTGATTCAAAACTTTCAAATTTGGATCGTTTTGATAATTTATTTAAATATGAACAAGGGCTCAGAAAGTTGTGGAATTTTGCACAACTGCTAAACTCAATACTCTCTTTTAGAATATGTAATAAAAAAAATATGCTGTACAAGCCTATTAACATTCCAGGAGCCAAAAAATTTCTAAAAGGATCAAAAAATCATGCACGAGCCTATATGATGATACCCACTTAACAAACCACTTAGCGACGCACTTGATAATTAATTAAAAGGGGACCAAATACCCTAATTGATCGGATGATTCAACCACGAAAAATCGAGGTCAGAAAAAATAAAAAAAGTCAAGACAATGGAGGGATCAATGATATAAAAAGGCAACTTTGGCAGGAGAAAATCAGTGTTCGAGAAAAGAGTGTTCGAGAAAGAGCGAGTAAACCGGCAGAACTACGGCGTGAAGGACCAGTGTCGGTTGAGTAATCAAGAAACAAGTAGTAAACGAGAATCGAGAGACCTGTATCCAGAAAGTCAGAACTACGGCGTGAAAGAGTTGTCGAATTAACCGAGAGGAAGCACGACGTGAAGTAACAGTGCGAAAATATTCGAGTTTTTTATTAAGTGTTCATAATTTAAGTAAATTCCTTCGACCAATAAGATTTCCATGTAATTAGGTGTGGCCAGCAGTAAATATATTATTGTTAAATGTAAGTAGAGTTTTTTTATGTTCAGCCAGAAATTGTGAAGGCAAGAGTGTGAATCGAGTCAAACTGTAAATAAAAATCTTTACTTGGAATCATATAAATTTTCCTGATCAGTTAATTGATGATTATTAAAAATTTTATTGTAAGATTATTTATTACCGACGCCTGTTATTTAATAACAATATTGTCACGATATCGTCCGCCAGGCTGTCAAGTATCGATGGTGAAAATACTAGAATCTAGCGAATTATTCTACTTTAATCTGGAAAATTAGATTATCATGTGTATTCTAGATTTTACAGGAATAGATTTAGGGATATATAAGAAGGCCGGCATTGATTTGTAAGTTAAGTTTCAGTTCGACTGTGATACGATTTAAATAGTGATTGTAAAGAGTTTAATTGTTGAGTTTGTTAATAAAGTAATTAGTGTCAGAGTGTTTTGTTAAGTGGAATAAATTATTGCTGTGTTAATTGGACTTTAATTTTTGGAATAAACGAAACGAACAACGAACCCAAGATTTCTGTCCGGAGATGCAAAGCCGCGACACTGGTGCCAGAAGTGGGATTTAAAGGACTGCAGAGTGAAATCCAATTGCGGAAGTGCGGGGACACTAGTGTAGTATAAAAACTGAACACTAAGTGAACACTGGGACAGTTAGTGCAGTGCAAACAGTGACAATCACAAAAAGAGACTTAACCGATCGTGTGAATTACCCCGGAAGTGACTCTATACCCGATTTAGACTGTGATAGTGAATCTTCGAGTGAGTTCTAGAAAATTCTATTTGGAAACTAAGGGAGATATCGAATTTGTGACTTCGCCGACGTATTCAGAACATCAATCGTCATTCAGAAGAGGTTTTTCGAGGAGTTTCGGGAAAATTCTAGAACATTCTATTTGGAAACCAAGGGAGATATCGAAATTGTGACTTCACCGACGTGTTTGCTGTATCAATCGACATCTAGAAAAGAAAATTCAAGGAAATTCCAGAACATTCTATTCGCGAATAAAGCAAGTTATCCAATTTGTGACTTCACCGGCGTGTTGGAACTTCGAGCACAGACCAGAAAAGATATTTGAAGAAAGTTCGAGGGAAATTCTAGAACATTCTGTATATCACAAGACAACAAGCCAAAATGGACGAACAAAAAGTTGAAGAACTCCTGCGCAAAATGTTGGAACTTCAAGAGACCAAACGACAACAAGAAAAACAAGACGAAGAAGCCAGACGACTACAAGAAAAACAAGACGAAGAAGCTAGAAGACAACAAGAAAAACAGGACGAAGAAGCCAGACGACAACAAGAAAAACAAGACGAAGAACTCAGGCGACAAAAAGAAAAACAAGAAGAAGAAGCTAGACGACAACAAGAAGAAGCTAGGCGACAACAAGAACGGCAAGAAGACCTTGCAAAACTGCAGAAGATATTCCAAA